ATGAGAGCACCAACCTGGGAATGTTTTTTATCAAGAACCAGCAGGCTAAAATTTCTGGGAGCATTGTTCTTTTATACAGAGTAATGGACAATCTTATGTCAACCTTATCAATCTGTTTCTGGTCCCATTGGCTAAACTAAAAACCAAAAAGGAAATATTTTTTCAGAATTTCATTTCAGGGAATATTTTACTCTTGTGGGGTTGCCAGGGACTCGAGCAGTCGATACCAATATTGAGCATCTTCCAACTGATCAATTTTTATCCATTTAGTTTTTGTCATCTCTTGCTCCTTGTTGTACCGAGAGGTCTGTAAGGTTTTATCACCAGCCCCTTGGGCAGATGAGCAGAGTTAATGCTGCTGCCTTCTCAGTGTGTGAGCTTTTAAAACCCCTTAAAGAAGAGCCTGTGTGCTTTGCAAATACCTCAAACACATTTTTTTCACCTGTAAAGCCAGTAAGATCATGGACAGAGTTATCCTGGAGCCAAGGATCTTGTGGAAGAGGGAGCTGGAATTCAATTTCAGATCCAGATCTGTCCTCAGCACACAGGCCACCAGGTTAGGTGGGTCTTTGGGCTGATCTTGGTATTTGCACATGCAATAGATGCTTTTTATTTCAATTATGAAGCAGGATGTACTTTTTTCCATCCTAAAAGCAATCCTATGTAAATTATGTTTTACAGAGCTTGGATTTTGAGTAGCAATTGAGTATAAACAGGTTTTGGAGAGAGGGGTTGCATTTGCCTTCTGTGTCATTCAGAGTTAGAGCTCGTTCAAAAGAGTTTGGAAATGTTAAGGAAAATAGAAAATATTCCCAGAAGGAGATGTTTTTGAAGACTGATATGTAGAAAATGATCCCCTGGAGGGGGAACCTCAGTTCTCCAATCTCCTGCAGATTCATTTTGCTTTTCCACTTGGGATGCAGAGTATTGCTGGACATTTAAAGACTTTGCAGGCGACGGCCCAATCCCATAAGTACATTCCTGTGTTGCAAAAATAGATCTAAATGCAGAGAAATGCCTTGTTTGATGTTCAGAAACTTTTCAACCACATTGGTGCCTTCCAGCCCAAACCACTTCATGATTCAATTAGGTTTATTCCCAGACCAGTGATAATTCCCTCACACTTTACAAAAGGGTTCTGCCAAAACATCCAAATAAAATAATCCCAGGATATGTCAGAATCATTCAGAAATGGACTCCTAACAGGGCACTGCCAGGCTCCTGTCTTTAGCAGGGCATAATCAGCAGATCCCACATTTCATGGCTTTTTGCACCTGAGTCCAATGCCCTACCCACAGAAAGTTCACCTGAGATTGGGCTGTAAAACCAAAGCCTTCCCTTTTATTTCAGCCTAGTGAAGATTTTCAGCTCCTGGATTCCAAAATTGTTAAAATACTTACAGCACTTGATAGTTTTTCATCTTGTTGTCCTGTTTTGCAGCCATTTTTGAATAATTGCAACAAGCTCAGAAAAATGATGTTCCCTCTGGCAATAAAACATCTTTCCTCTCTTGTCCAGCCTGTTGGTTTCTGGATGCTTTTGTTGCTTTTTTTAGCCAACAGCTTCCTTGACTTTGATTCCTTGAAGCGTCTCCTGTACTAATCCCTTGGAAATCTATATGGTCATTCCACAAGGTGCCTCAGTCATCAATCAGGGAAAAGCAGCCAGATTGTGTGGTCTCCATGGAAGATGGAAAGCTGGTCTTAAAATCTGCTTGTGGTGATGGGCAATCAAAATTTCAAAATGGGCAATCAATTTTTTTTTTCTTTTTTTCTTAATTAGCCAGGAAAAATATCCCTAATGATAGTCCTGGGTGTCCTTTCCAGTGGTTTGTGCACAAAGGACAGCAGGGCAGGGCCTGTCCCTCTGTGCTGACCCTGCTGAGGGACCTCCAGGGCTGTGTCCAATTCCGGGTCCCCAATCCAGGAAGGACCTGGAGGGGCTGGAACGTGTCCAGGGAAGGGTCTGGAGCCCCAGGAGGGGCTGAGGGAGCTGGCAAGGGGCTCAGCCTGGAGCAAAGGAGGCTCAGGGGGCCCTTGTGGCTCTGCACAACTCCCTGCCAGGAGGGGACAGCCAGGGGGGGTCGGGCTGTGCTGCCAGGGAACAGGGACAGGACAAGGGGAAAGGGCCTCAGGCTGGGCCAGGGGAGGCTCAGCTGGGACAGCAGCAGCAATTTCTGCATGGAAAGGGTGCTCAGGCCTTGGCAGGGGCTGCCCAGGGAGCTTTGCAGTGCCCAGCCCTGCAGGTGTCCCAGGAAGGGCTGGAGGTGGCACTCAGTGCTCTGGGCTGGGCACAAGGTGGGCACTGGGCACAGCTGGGACTCCATGGGCTGGCAGGGACTTTCCAGCCTTAGTGATTCTCTGATTGTTTGAGTTCTTGCTTGTGCAGTAAAAATTCAAAGCAGATTTTCTGTAATCTCATTGTATCAGTGAGTTACAAATACCACCAGACTGGTTTGCTTTAGTGCTGGCATTTATGGAAAAACTGGTGGTGCAGACACATCAGATTTATCATTAGGAGGTTCCCTCCCTGGCATTTTAGGCAGGATGTAAGGAAAACCTTAGAGATGTCTAAGGGGGAATGGGAAAGGCCTCTGAAATATCAGAGACTTCATAAAGTAGAAAAATAAAACTTTAAGGATGGCTATTAAAAGGCTGATTTACCAACTGCTGTCTCTCAGAGAGAGAGTAGAGGTGCTTCATGAATATCTGAGGAAAATCCAGCCCATTTTTAAGAAGAAAAGAATCCCTGGATCAAACCAAAGCAAACAAGAATGCTTTGTGAACCAAGCAGAGAGTGAAGCAGAGTACGGTCCAACCAGAGGCAGAATCAAGGCAGTGAGTTCAGTGAGGTCATGGTGGTTGACTGCAGACTATGAAATTCATCATCACAGATTTTAAGTTTCTTAGATGTTTTTATAAGCGAATTTGGAGTAGCAACACTTCTTTGCATCACCATTGGGGCACACTAATGAGGGCAGTGCACGAACTGGTGGATTTTATAGTTTTGACAGGATTTGTTGAGTAGACATCAACATGTGCAGGGTCACAGGGTTTAAAATGAGCTGGGTTTTCCTGGTGAAATCCTCTTTTTGTTAAAACCAGTGCTTGTCTCCCAAAAGGTGCCAGGCCAAGCTCCTGGAGCAGAGTGGAACTGTATAGATGTTACTGAACAGGAAATTTTGCCAAGAGCCATAAAACACCTGGATAAAACCAATGTTTCTCACATGGCTAAAAAGCTGTTGCTCCTTGTACTTGAAATCAATATTTGGTGCAAAGTTTTGCAGTTCTATTCCCAAATATTTGGCCATTTTCTTCCTGTCATTTCTACTGTGTCAGAAAAAAAGTAGTTTCAAAATAAATGATTGAAAAAACCTTTTTGTGGTGTTTTCCCCCACAGGACTGCAAACCAGTTTGCTGGGGTTAAGATCAGTGATTTTTTTGCTGTTTTAGCAAAAAAGCATCAGCCCCTCTTACATGAATATTTTTATACAGAGTCACTGTTATAAAGTGAAGGTGTAAAGAAGCTTTATGCTACACTTTGGAATAAATTATTTGGTCCCTTAATAACAGGAGGTTACATGGTAAATATTTTAACCTAATTTAAATGTTCTGCAGCTACTGACATTCACAGATTTTCTTCATAACTGCTGGTGAACTTCCACAAAGAAAATTCCTGTTAATATTTTGGTGTGAAGCAAACTGGGAAGTGTTAATTTTGCAGAAAAAATGACATTTTTCAGAGAAGTGGTTATAAATAGTGGTTATAAATGCAGTGTGTGCAATTCTGTGGCACCGGAGGACAACACTTGGGGTGGTTTGTAATGGTTGGTGTTTGGGAAGTGAGCTGGGAGTGTTTTCCACAGGAAATTGTGTATATTGTGAGGGCTGACTGCTGAAAGGGAGCAGGATGGGACAAGGTGGTCTCTTGTGAGATCCCATCTGGAATTCTGTGCACTGCTCTGCAGAAGAGGGACATGGAACTGTTGGAGCAGGTCCAGAGGAGGCCATGGAGATGCTGAGGGGTCTGGAGCATCTTCCCTGTGGATCCAGGCTGGGAGAGCTGGGAATGCTCAGCCTGGAGAAGGGAAGGGTGTGTGGAGACCTCACAGCTCCTTCCAGGGCCTGAAGGGACACAGGGAAGCTGGAGAGGGACCCTGCAACAGGAACTGGAGGGACAGGACAAGGGGGAATTGGTTCAGACTGACAGAAGGAAAATTTAGGTTACATTTAAGGAATTCTTCACTGCCACAGGGTGCCCAGAGCAGCTGTGGCTGCCCCTGGATCCCTGGTAGTGCCCAAGACCAGGTTGAACTTTGGGGCTTGGAGCAGCCTGGGATGGTGGAAAGTGTCCCTGCCATGGCACTGGGTGAGATTTTGGATCTTTAGGATCCCTCCCAACCCAAACCATTCTGGATTCCTGTGATTCCATGGAAAGACCCACACTGAAACCTGGCTGCTCCTCTCAGTACCGCCTTTGTCTTGTGGCTGTAGTCTCCACATCCTTGTGCTGCAGTTCAGTTTGTGTTTCAGAGCAACTCCAGGTACAAACTCTCTTTTTTCCTGGAGAGCTTTATGTAACTGTGCTTTTTTCCTCCCCTCATCACCTTGATGTGTCGTTCTCGCTGCAGAAAATTTATTCCGAGTTTGGTTGTTATTTCCATGCTTTCATTTGTTTGAGGTGAGATTGGGGGATGATTGCTCAATGAAGAAAAGGCTCATCTTGTTAAGTAGATAGCTCAATGTGACAGGTCTCATTGTCAATTTAAATCATTGTGCATTGCAAGTGCTTCTCCTGGCATTGTCTGATACAGCTGCGGTGTCACAGGCAGTTTTTTATTACAGATAATAAGGTTCAGACTCTTTAAACATCACTCAAAACATAAAACAGCACAAATCTGAGGTAGAAAACAGCATTTTCAGTGTCGCAGTGCTTGCAGAAATACACAGGAATGTGGATTCCCTATCAATTCCTCCCTGGGCTGTTCACTGTCATTGCAGGCACTATCCTGGTTGACAACATGCTAATCAAAGGCACGGCAGGAGGGCCTGACCCCACCATCGAGCTCTCCCTGAAGGACAACGTGGATTACTGGGTGATCCTGGACCCCATCAAGCAGACCTTGTACCTGAACAGCACCGGCCGCGTGCTGGACAGAGACGTGAGTCTGGCCTTGCTTTCCTCCTCCACAAGCACCTTCACCTCCAATTCACCATGCACACAAACACTGCTGGAATATAATCCTTGCATCTGTCTCGTCCCCAGATGGATGTGAACACAGTTCATCTGATCCTTTTTTTAAGATTTATTGGGAGCACACAGGAACTTGACCTTATGTGCAAATATTATTGCGAACAAACACAACAACGAAGACCAAAAAACCTGACGTTAAGAGTTTTATATCTGACCAAACTTGACTCATTTGTTGAATTAAATTTTTATTCTGGCTTGCTGGCTGCTTACCCTGTGCCCTGTGACATTTCTTAGCAGCCTGCTTTCCCTGTGTACACTGAATTATGAGCTGTGAGAAGTGACGAGTCGTGGCTGCCACAATTCACTCACAAAGCTCGACATGTTCCATTGAGAACGTGCTGCTTCACATTCTTTTTTTTTTTAAGGCAGCCTAAAACATATTTACTCTGCTCATTCCTGTTGGTGTTAAGGAAATATTGCCAGGGAAAGTTTGATTTTTATAAAAATAAAGATGAAAAGCATGGAATAAATAAAAATAAAATCTCGTTCTATTGAGAACGTGCTGGTTCACATTCTTTTTTTTTTTAAGGCACCCTAAAATATATTTGCTGTGCTCATTCCTGTTGGTGTTAAGGAAATATTGCCAGGGTAGGTTTGATTTTTATAAAAAGAAAGATGAAAAGCGCAAAATAAATAAGGGTGTTCTCATCTAGGCTAATTTCATTGAGGAGAAAACACTCTAAAAATAGAGACATTTCCTCACAGTGTTGCAACCTTGTGACAGAACCTGAAAGTAAAATTGACTTGCAAGTGCTTTAATCAATATGGCAAGAATCATGTGAAACTCAGGAATTCTCCTTGGAGTGCAGGGAAGTTTGTTTTGTATTAGCTTGATTGATTAATTTGTCTTCTCCGTGTGTTTTGAGATAAATTCATAAGTACCAAAAACAACATGCAAATTTCCCCTCATTTCCATTTGCTGGTGAAAGGCACTAATTGAATTCAGCTGTTCTTAATTTTGTTTTAATTCACAAACTGTTTTCCCATGCAAAGCACAAAGTGTGGCAGAGTGGTCATGGTGGCAGAAGACTTTCTGGGAGAGTTGGCACTTCTTCAAGTGCCAGCCAGCAGCTGCTGGAGCAGCTTTGGCCTCTCAGAATTAATTTTAAGCCAGAGCAAAAAATGAGAGCCTGGAATGGAAGGTAAGGCTGGAGAATCACTCTAGGAAATGTAGGGTCAATTCTTATCACCCCACACCCATCCATAGGGAATTAGGAACAAAAATCCTTGATGGATCAGTGCTATTTCTTCTTTTCAAGGCTATTTGTTGACACTTTATTGTCACCTTAACATGAATCAAAGTCGATGCTTTACCCAAAGAACCTCATCAGATTATTTGAGTTTCAATATTAATCACAGTCTAAACCAATTCCCAATCTTGTGAGTTCCCAGACACTTCACAGGGATGTTCTTTGCCAGAAGTAGACTCAAGTCCCCTGGAAACAAGTGAAGTGTGTACATTTCTTAATTAAATTCAGGTAATAATGTGTTTACATTGGTATTTAAGGTATTAATTCCTCATTTTTTGCCATGAACTGGAGCACTTCTTACCTCTAATGCTGTGCCAAATCATTCATCTGTGGCTATTTAAACTTGGTGGGCTGTGAGAAGGAAATCTGGGCTTTAAGGTGGTTCAGATTTTGTCTGTGATGCCCCCTGTGCCTCTTTTGCATGGTCTCAGGGTAGTGCAGTCACTCACAACACAAAGAAAAGGAGAGCAACCCTGAGTAAAAATACGAAATGTGTGTCATGGGCTTTATAAATGGAGCTCTTTTGGGAACATGGGTTAGTGCTGGGTCAACAGCTGAACTCCATGGTCTTGGAAGTCTTTTCCAGCCTTATGGATTCTCCTAAAGGACATTTCCAGCCTTCAGAACCAGGGCTGTGCTACCCCAGCACCACAGAACCATTCAGTATTGGATGGATGATCTCTTTTGGTTAACAAAAACCCCAACCTGTTATTCCCATCCTTCCACTCAAATCCATTTGACACTTTCCAGTACCAATGAAACCGAGAGTTTTATTAGGCTGAACATTTAGATTAAACTTTTTTATTACAGACCAAAAATTGGAGTCCATGATTCACAAATTATCACATTCCATGTATTTGGATGTCCTTCCCATTTTTCTCTCCCTGCTGATTCAGTCAGCCTGATCCTGTCCTTTTTTTATTTCTTGCCTTTCTTGACAGCAAATCTTCCTAGATTCCATTGATTGTTACTAAGAATGGCAGTGTGTTTTCCAAATAAAATCAGATAAAAAGAAAATTCCACGCTTTTCTTCCAAAACTGTAAGAAGAATGACCAGTGATAAATCAGAACTGAAGGTGCTGAAAGGTGCTGGGATGATTTGTCCCTGGTTTCATAAACAAAATTTGCCATTGTGCCATTGTTTATTTACATATTTTGCAAACTCAGAATATCAAATATTTATCAAATATCTGTAATTTCAAATAATTATATTATTCTTGGGCTTGGCTAATTAATCCAGATACGCTTAGTAGTGAATGCAGCTTATTAAAGGCAGCCTAAAAACTCTTGGATCTGACTAAAATGAGTAGTAAAAGCCATTCCAGCCTAAATTTCTTTGTCCATTCATCAATTTAGGAGTTTTAGAGCACTGCTGTGTTCACTGCAGTGAGAAAAACAGGATTGTCCACACTGAAAGTTGTTTTTGAATTATTTGCAAACGTAAGTGGCAGCAAATGTGATTAATTTCAGACTTGACCTTTCAATTCAAGACAGGAAAGAAATAAGAAAGACTTTGGGGAGTGTCCAGAGGAGGTCTTGGAGATGCTCCAGGGCTGGAGCCAGGCTGGGAGAGCTGGGGGTGCTCACCTGGAGAGGAGAAGGCTCCAGGGAGAGCTCAGAGCCCCTGCCAGGGCCTAAAGGGGCTCCAGGAGAGCTGGAGAGGGACTGGGGACAAGGGATGGAGGGACAGGACACAGGGAATGGCTTCAAAATGACAGAGTGGAAATTTAGATGGGATATTGGGAATTAGGAATTGTTCCCTGGCAGGGTGGGCAGGCCCTGGCACATAACAATGGAGTGTCTTGGAGCTGCTTCCAGGAGCTTGACTTGGTCGGTCACAGGTTTCTCCTCAGGTCTTTTGTTTCTCTGGTATTACCAGCTTTCCCTCTGTCTCACTTTTGGGAGACCCCACCTGCAGAGCTGCCCCAGCACAGGAGGGACCTGGAGCTGCTGCAGAGAGCCCAGGGGAGGCACCAGCATGGGCAGAGGGATGGAGCAGCTCTGCTGGGAGGAAAGGCTGGCACAGCTGGGGGTGCTCACCTGGACAGGAGAAGCTCTGGGGTGACCAAATTGTGGCCTTCCAGTGCCTGAAGGAGCTACAGGAAACATGGAGAGGGACTTGGGACAAAGGATGGAATGCCAGGACAAGGGCGAATGGCTTCCCACTGCCAGAGTACAGGGTTAGATGGGATACTAGGAAGGAATTGTTCCCTGTGATGAGGATGGTGGGGACTGGCACAGATTTCCCAGAGCAGCTGTGGCTGCCCCTGGATCCCTGGCAGTGCCCAAGGCCAGGTTGGACAGGGTTTGGAGCAGCCTGGGACAGTGGAAGGTGAAGGGATGGAACGAGATGATCTTGAAGGTCCCTTCCCACCCCAGTTCTCCTGGCATCCATTGAATTCCAATAACAATAAACCAAAAGCTCAAACAGCTGCCATTTTCCAGGTCCTTTACCACAACCTCTCTTCCTCCTTGCAGCCCCCCATGTCCATCCAGTCCATCGTGGTGCAGGTGCAGTGTGTGAACAAGAAGGTGGGCACCATCATCAACCATGAGGTGCGCATCGTGGTGCGCGACCGCAACGACAACTCCCCGCAGTTCCAGCAGGAGCACTACTACGTGGCCGTCAACGAGGTCAGAGCTTCCTCCTCCTCCTCCTCCTCCTCCTTTGGGTGGGGTCACTGCTAAATCCCAGCTTTCACTGCCTCCTCCTTGAAAATCAAAAACATGCGGTTGTTTTCTGTTGTGCTCATCGCTTCGGTAGGCTTCATCTATCATCTTATCCTGCATCTTTTCCTAAAGGAATACAAAGGCCGGCACAGTTTTCAGCAGGAATTTTGCAAAAGGCACCCAAATTTAAAGCAGTGTCTTCATGAATGAAGCGTTGTTTTCTGTTAAGTTAAAGCACTTTTAACAGCAAACCTATGGTTGAGGAAAAGAAAGTAAAAAACCAGTTTAAGTTTTATTAACAATGTTGAAGCTTGGCAAAGTGCAGATGTGGTTTATTGCTGTTGCTCTGGTGCCTGTGAAATGAATTATTTTATTTTCTATTATTCACTATGTTATGGTTTGTTTGTTTGGGTTTTTTTTTTAACAGAGAACTGTGGATTGGACCACTGTATCATTTGAAGGGGGAAAAAAATTTTCTTCTTGAGCTGGTACAACTTCATTTCACTTTCCAGTGAAGTTTTTCATTTTGTTAGGGACTGAATAATCTGCCAATAAGCAGTTCCAAAAAAATCTGTGTTTTCACGGTTAGCATGTCAGGGCTTTAGTAATGAGTAGAAACAGGGACTTACATGAAGTAATGGAAATTATGTGGCCTGAAATTATGTGGCAAATGCAAAGATGGGTCAGTTTTGTGCTGATGAAGACTGAAAGAAGTAGAGTTACATTTAAAAAATAAATTATATTAAATATGCAGCCTGGTGGGGTTTGGTTTTTGAGGTAGAGGTCTGTGAAAGAGCATGGCTGCTTTGATTTTAATAGACTTGATTTGGAGAAATTTCCTATTTTGTTGTGTTTTGGAGATTCAGCTTTTCAACCTGTCCTTGTGTTGTCTCTGGTCTCCATGACCACACATGTGCCCTGGGAAGAGTGGGCCATTGGTGATGTGAGGCATAATTAACCCAAAAGTGTGGAGGAAAACCCTCCCAAATTCACACATTATATTGGACCTGCAACTGAGATAAAGATGAACAAGGTTTTTCAAATTTCCTGGTTTTAAATTAAATGAAATTTAAATTAAATTTAAATATTTTTGGCACTCCAGCTGTTCATGTGACTTCCCATTGGAATCTGGGAGCACTGGGAAGGTCCTCCATGGGCTTGTCCATGGTTTTCACACTGACATTCAACGTGGCCATGGAATTTCTCTGTTTCTACAGACGCAGTGCAGGAATGTTTCTGGTCCCGAGTAAAAAATATTTCTGGTCTTGTGTGTGTTGTGCTGCAGGGCCCAGATCACTTCCAAAACCTGCATCATTTCTGCAGTGAAACCAAAGACAGGCAGTATGGCTGTGCTAAGAAAACAAGGATTTTCCATAATTAGGGAGAAGTCCAAAAGGCAGAGTGCAAAATGCACCATTCCCAATTATTTGTGTTCAGAAACTGAGCAATGTTCTGAGGACACCAAGCATTTATTGGAATTATTGCTGGGCAAAATGCACTGTTGCTCTTTCCACCAGCTGCACCCTGATTTAATTAATTCCTTCTTTTCATTTTATCTCTTTTCCATGGATAACATCTGACATGGCACCAATGTGCCCTTGAGCAGCACCCTGTGAGTTCATGCTCTCATTAATTAATTAACAAAAAAATAATTCACAAAGCATCTCAGACTCTCTCAAAGGTTTTAATGAGTGATTAAATGTTTTAATGCTCATTTATTCTGCTCATAATTGGTGCTGCCTCTGGTGAATTTAGCAACAGGAATGCACTGGAACGAAAAGTTTGTGGTTAATTTTTGCTTCTGTTTTCTGGTTGCTTGTAAACCAAAAAGTACAGAAATTTCTCTTGCATAAGGAACATAAAATAACTCAAATGAGGAGTAGATTTTATTGTGTTTTGGAGAAATTGAATGGTTTTTATGTACCTAAAGAAGACCTGTGAATAAAGGTGATCCTGAATTAAAATATGCAGAGAAATTAATGTCAGTGGTTTGAAAACGTGGCTTTTGCAGCTAAGAATCAAAATCTTCATTACCTATTTATTAAGGAATACTTTTTTGGTCAGGATTTTAATTCTTCTGTTAGAAGTATGGAGCTGGGCTTGTCCTTGTCAGTGTTGATGGAGGCTGGAATGTTTGTTGGATGAGGTGGTTTAGCTGGGATTGGCAGTGCTGGGATCCACATTAAGTTACAAATAAAATTAATTTCTTTATAGTCTTAGTTGAGAACAGATTTTCTGTTTCCCCACCATTTAGGAGCCAGTTTTCATTTTCCCTTCTTGATGCTTTTACAAGTCCAAGTATCTCAGCCAACTCCAACTGCTCTCCCAAGCATTAGGAATCTCCACATGGAAGCAAATAGAAGTATAGGTTGATGTCAGCATTTTTATGATAATGAGAAATCCTCTGCAGACCAATTTTGTCTTTCCCAGTTTCACGTGGACATGGATATGGTGGCCCCTCCTTTCCTTCCTTACTCCAGGTGCTTTGTAGCCTTTTTTTCCAGCATGTTTTGTCTTCTGTCATAATTCCTCACTCTGCTGCTTTAGACAACTTCATCTGGACCCTCAGAACCCTTGCACATCTTAAGACTTAAAGAGTGTTTCTGGAATATTCTGCCTGTTGTCCAACAATCCTTAGGGATTTAAGTGTTTCCTTCCATCATTCCCACACTTCTACCTATAGAAGACCTATGGGTAAAGGTGATCCCAAATTAAAATGTGCAGAGGAATTAATGTAAGTGGTTTGAAAACGTGGCTTTTTGCAGCTAAGAATCAAAATCTTCATTGTCTGTTTGTTGAGGAACACTTTTTTGGTCAGGATTTTAATTCTGTTAGAAGTATGGAGCTGGGCTTGTTCTTGTCAGTGTTGATGGAGGCTGGAATGTTTGTTGGATGAGGTGGTTTAGCTGGGAATGGCAGTGCTGGGATCCACATTAAGTTACAAATAAAATTAATTTCTTTATAGTCTTAGTTGAGAACAGATTTTCTGTTTCCCCACCATTTAGGAGCCAGTTTTCATTTTCCCTTCTTGATGCTTTTACAAGTCCAAGTATCTCAGCCAACTCCAACTGCTCTCCCAAGCATTAGGAATCTCCACCTGGTAGCAAATAGAAGTGTAGGTTGATGTCAGCATTTTTATGATAATGAGAAATTCTCTGCAGAGTTATTCCCTTGGTTTTTTGCATGACATATTTTTATTTATATGAAAATATCCCATTGTTATTCAGTTAGGAAAAACTCCTGACAATGACAGCCTGGGGCTAAATTTGTCCGTATTGGTGACTTGAAGATTTGAGTTATTACCATATTAAACCCAAGTTCTGCAGCTAAGTTAAAATTCAAAAGAATTATGCAGCTCAGTTAATATTCCACAGACAAATATATGGCATTGCCACAAGGGGTTTAAATTTATGGAGCTTAATACAGGGATTAGGAAGTAAAATCTTGTACTGCTGAAGCCCAGTGGTGGTGTCTGTGTTTTGTGTTCTACACAACTTATCTGATCATTTTTATCTGAGCTAAATACAGCTCAAATTTTGCATTCCCTGGGTTTTATAAAACTGACTTTCTTTGCTCTTGGTTTTTCACTTTCCTGAGTCCTACAGAGCAAGTCAGGAGCCTTTAATAGCAGGTTCTGTTTGGAAGTAGATGTGGAGCCCCTAGAACACTGTGGAAGTCAGTATTTATTAATGCATGTAACCTTAGAGCTGCTTGTAACCCAACATTTTGGGGTTGGTTCATTTATTTAGTTCAGGACTCTTTTTTTTTTCCTCCTTTAATTTAGCAAAGATTGGAATCCTTAGCAAAATAAGAGCCTTTCTTGAACTTCAGTCATATCAAAACTTTGGGTTTGGGCTGTGGAGAATTAGAACTTGTGCTGAATTTTCATTTCTGGTGGTGTAATTATTCCTTTTTCCTTGTGGTATCAAAATAATTAATCTCTGCAGGTAGACATCATCAAAAGAGTGTTAGCTCAGAATGATTAACTGTAAATCTGGCTTTGCTCTGCTCTTTGGGGCCACTCTGAAAAATTATTCATTTTTAACTTTGTAAATAGGCAATAATAGGGAAATTAATTTTCCAAATGTTTTATAGAAGAGCTGAATGCTTCTGTCTGCATCTCTACTTCTAATAGCCATTAATCACGCTGAAGGAAGTTTTTAAGTGCTACAGCTGTAGACTGTGCAAGAGGAAGATTTATCGTGTGCTTCTCCTCTCTGTTTGTTTAATCGCATTCTTTTTGGAATCTTCCTTGTTTTGTGTCACCATGATTCTTATCCACTGGATTGAGTTCCCACAGAGATGATTATCCTCAGGCTGAGGATGCTGACACTCCAGGAATTGTCTCTTTGCAATCCCTAAAGTTTTCGTTTTCATAAGGTAAAACACTTTGATGGTTAAACCCTTTGATGCACAACTTCAAGCCCTTTCCCTGGGACATACCAAAGGTTCCTGTGGAGAAACAAAATTCCATTCTTTAGTGAAGGAAGTTTTCCCAACATCCAAGCTGAGCCTCCCCTGGCCCAGCTTGGGGCTGTTTCCCCTTTTTCTGTCCCTGTTCCCTGGCAGCACAGCCTGAGCCCCCCTGAGCCTCCTTTTCTCCAGGCTAAAGTTGTATTTTATTAGGGGAACTGAGTTCCTCCTTGTTGTTCCAACAAGGAGGTGACAGCAGTCTCTCAGAAATCCCTCACAAATTGTGGGAAAATGTATTATGGTAATGGTAGTGGAAATGCATTACTGACTAATGGTAAGTATCATAGTAAAAATCAGCACAATGCTGAGATCTCTGTATAAAAAGTTGGTGAGGTTTGGAGTGCTGAGGGGCCTCTCCCAGATGATTGTAAGTGGATTTGAAGTATCGAGTTAAGAGCTCATCTAAATTTTTCTAAAGCCTGCAGGAATCTCTAATATGAGATCTTGAGCAGGCTGGAAATCCCAGAATTGTGGAATATCCTGAGCTGGGAGGGACCCACCAGGATCATCCACTCCAACCCCTGGTACTGCATAGACACCCCAAAAAATCCCACCCTGTGCATCCCTGAGAGCATTGTCCAAATGCTGCTGGAGCTCTGTCATGGAGGAGTGGAAAGGATTTATTTTCCCAATGTTCTTTTCTAGTATCATTTGTGTTGCAGGAAAGAAAACTTTGATAAAATGGAAACGTCTGTGTCCTGAAGGTCTGCACATCTGCAGTCAGTTATTCTGGGTGTAATAGATCAAATGCAAGGCTTTAGCTTTTGACTTTTACTGTTAGAGCATGGAATTGGAGTTCTGGTGTTTACTGATGTGTCATTTTTGCAACTGTCTCTTTTGTTATCACTTATTAATGTGCTTTACGGTGCTGGAGCCTTTTTATGTTGGCCACTATTTATCTGCACGCTGTCAGAAAGGGCTGGTGGGAGCTGTGCCAGCAGCTCCAGGGTGTCTGTCATCTCCTGGGCTGCTTGGATGTGACAGCATTTTTACAATATTTAATAGTATTAAATATATGGTTTTGGTTCTTTAAATATGGCACACCATCTGCAGTACAGTGTCCAGCAGTGGGATCTGTTGGGATGAGTCCAAAGGAGCCATGGAGGGGCTGGAGCCCCTTTGCTCTGGAGGGAGCTGGGGGTGCTCACCTGGAGAGGAGAAGGCTCCAGAGAGAGCTCAGAGCCCCTTCCAGGGCCTAAAGGGGCTCCAGGAGAGCTGGAGAGGGACTGGGGACAAGGGATGGAGGGACAGGACACAGGGAATGGCTTCAAAGTGACAGAGTGGAAATTTAGATGGGATATTGGGAATGAGGAATTGTTCCCTGGTAGGGTGGGCAGGCCCTGGCACAGCTGTGGCTGCTCCTGGATCCCTGGCAGTGCCCAAGGCCAGGCTGGACACTGGGACTTGGAGCAGCCTGGGACAGTGGAAGGAGTCCCTGCCCATGGAAGGGATTTGGATTAGATGATCTTTAATGTTTTTTCCAACCCAAACCATTCTGGCATTCTACATGTCTGATATCTCCAGAGCTGCTCCTCTCAGATCCATCTGGGAGCACCAGGACTTTGTCCTGTTTGGCCAGCAGAAACCTGGGAGATTTCCATCCTATGCCACCCCATGACCAGCCAGCACTGTCCCTGGCTCTTCCCACTAATGGAACCATTGCTTAAACAGGGATTAATTGGTTAAACTCTCTTATTTTGAGTTAGAGGGTGTCAGTTCCCAGGTAGGGCCTGAGGAGTCTCTGTGAGAAGAGGTGGGAGCTCCTCTGGAGTGAGGGATCCACAGGCCCACCGCCAGCCCCATGGTACTCAGGAAAACTGGGTTAAGAGAGGGGAAAAGGGGTTAAGAGAGCTGAAAATGGGTTTAAGAGAGGGGAAAATGGGTTAAGAGAGCTGAAAATGGGTTTAAGAGAGGGGAAAAGGGGTTAAGAGCGGGGAAAAGGGGATTAACTGAGGAGAAAAGGGCTTAAGAGAGGAGAAAAGGCATTTAAGAGAGGGGAAAAGGGGTTAAGAGAGGGGAAAAGGGGGTTAGGAGAGGGGGAAATGGGTTTAAAAGAGGGGAAAAGGGGTTAAGAGAGGGGAAAAGGGGTTATGAGAGGGGAAAAGAGGGTTAAGATAGGGGAAAAGGGGTTTAAGAGATGGGAAAAGGGGTTAAGAGAGGGGAAAAGGGGTATAAGCGAGGGGAAACTGCCATGTGGCAGCAAGGAATGGGGAGAAAATGATGAAGAGGGGCTGGGAGTTAGGGAGTGATGCTGAACCTGGGATAGGGGACAGTGCTGGTTTGTGTCCCTCTGTCCCCATCCCAGGGTGTTTTTCCTAGCAGGATGTTTAATCAGTGTTCGCCACAGCCTCTGTCCTCCCTGGTAGTGTGAGACAGAGGCAGTGGATGCCTGGTCTCACTCTTTTCCCTCAAGAACATGGGATTTTCCTCTCCTGAGCTGTTGAGGAGGCAACAAGGAGGTTCCTGAGTGGATATCAAGGAGCAGCCCATCCCCAGTGGTGGGAAAACCCCCTGCAAACCATCCTGGAACTTTTCCCAGCTGGTTTTCAGGTTACTTTGGTCTTCTGTCCCCTTCTCCCACACACATCCCAACCCATTAGGGCACATTCAACTTCCTGCACCCACGTGTGACACTTCTGCTGCCTGTTCCAGGAGTAAATAAGTCAAGTTAGTAGCAAAACATGAACATAAAGAGTTGTGGTGTAAGTGTGTATTATAAATTAAGCCCCACTTGTTTTACCACAAAAAGGCTTCGAATTGGTGACTTTTATTTCAAAGATTCAGTATTGTCAGCCCTGAACATGTTTCCCAGAGAACTCTGCCTACCATTACACCCTTAATTAGCAGCTTTATAAATAAAACAGGAACTATGAGTGCAGGAGGAAATGGGGAGTTAAGTCTTTGCTTTATTGTGAGCACCACAAAACAGGAACGTGAAATAACATCCACATCTGCACCAAATGCTGCAATGACTCTGTCCTTTGCCTCCTGCTCTTCTTCCAATATTTCAAACCTTTTTATGCCCTCTAGGTTTAAATATGTGCAGCAAATTTGTGTAAATTCTGGAGGAAAGAAGAGGGGCCAGTGGGAATTGAAGGGCCACAAATCTGGGGAGCACCAAGGAGCAAGGGTTGTGCTGAACCCACAAGTGTTTGTTCATTTGTTCCTCCCTCTCAGGTTGATGACTTGCAAAGTTTCCTGAATATTTAAATTCAGAAACGATGACTCCCAAGAAATCTTCTGTCTCTGCTCTCAATGGGCCTTGATTTCGTGCTATTTATCAGCGCGAGGATAATTATAAATTGATTCATTTTCAAAACATCATTTAATGGGTATTCAATTGCTGCCAACGCAATATTGGAGCAACAGCTTCACTCCTGTGTTTGCTCAAAGCCATGGAGCTCTCTGGGTGTTTGTGTTTGCATGTAACAATATTAATCTGGCTCTGTTCACGTTGCTATGAAGATGCTGTCAAATAAGCTCTGTTTACATTTGCTGCTCATCCTTGTTTTCCTTCCTGAGTCTGAAAAAGGAGCTTTTATTTGGTTTAATCTATATTTATTTCATGGGTTCTTTCAGGTTTAAAGAGTGTTTTTCTCATTTTTGTCTTTTTTTTTTTTTTAAGATGAAGTTTTGTCATGATGTTTATAGACCAGAGCTAGGGGGAAAAATAAGGTTAAAATTAAAACCTCAAGGTTTTAATGAGGATCTCTTGCTGTTCTTGCAGTTAACTCCAGTTGGAACAACCATCTTCACAGGGTTTTCTGGAGACAATGGTGCTATTGACATTGATGATGGTCCCAATGGCCAGATAGAATATGTCATCCAGTACAATCCTAATGACAAGGTACAGCCATTCAGGCCTTTTTCCCTTGATTTATATTTATATTTATATTTATATTTATATTTATAGTTATAGTTATAGTTATATTTATATTTATGATATGAAGAAGAGGTTGCTGTTGGATATGAAGAAATGTTTTCCTTAATATCAAGTGTTTTCTCTGTCCATCAGCTCTGTAACCACAGATGAATTTATCTTCCCTCTCATTGCTTCACTGTCAGCAGCTGGATCATTTCACTTTCAGTAATGCCCAGAGAAATTGTGTTTATCCCATTCCTGGAAGTGTCCAAGGCCAGGTTTGACTTGGGGGCTTGGAGGAACCTGGAATAGTGGAAGGTGTCTCTGGATGGGCTTTAAGATCTCTTCCAACCCAAATCATTCTGGGATTCCATGATTTCCGTTTTGCCTCAGTAACAATCCCCTTGTTGATTTCCCCCCCTTGGGATAAAATATTTTATCCCAAAAGATGAGTGCCAAACTTAGACTATCTCCAGTTATTTATCAGTCTGGGATGCCCATCCCAATCCTTTTTTTCTGCCCACCATAGATTCCCCATGCAGCATGGAGAATTTACCACTCATTCTCAATTATTTGCTGAAAACAACCCTTCATTTTTAGCAGTTATTTAGGCTCTTCAAGGAAAAAGGCAGTAAAAATGTGATGTAAAGAAACAACATTGCTCTGTGCCTCTACTGTGTTTGGAATCTTGTATTGCTGTTGCCTGTTCAAAATACTTAAATATTAACTATCTTCAGCACTGAGAGATTGAAGCATGGAAAGATGGGAAGTGTTTTTAATTAGATTAATTTGATAATGAAATTGCAATCGGATCTCAGGTCAGAAATGTGTGCCCTCCTGCCAGTTTTTGCCCCAGCTTTGTCACCTGAGTCAGTGGAAGAAAATACACGGAACAAATTGTATTTCACTCCATTAAACATCTGCATATACCCTGAAATGTGAATTTCCTCAGATAGGAACGTATGCATGAACTGGCATCTAAATGTTGATGTTCTCTGCTTGTTTAGCACTTCATTGCCCTCATGAAAGGCAGAATAAAGAGCAGATAAGTACAATGATGTGGATTTCTTATCTCTACTGCTTGAGCACTTGATTTGAATGCACCACTGCAAATTCAGGATGGCAAAGGGGAAAGAAGCAGATTCAGTCAGACTTTGGTGGTTGGAAGTAGTAACAGATAGGTAAAGAACTCTGTTCTGTACATATTCATTACTAGGGGGTTCTTCAGGAGGGAATTGGGTGGGGAGAAAACGTAGTAAGCTTTATAATCTCTTATTTGAATAGCAGATGCAGCCTTGGAATACCAACCAAAGGATCATCCCATTGTGGCCCAGCTTTGTGGCTTCTCATCTGAACTTTGAGGCATGTTCAATGTTATTGTGCTGTTTTCTCATTTGCAGACTTCCAACAGGACCTTTGATATTCCTCTCACTTTGTCCGGAGCAGTAGTTCTGAGGGAAAGACTAAATTATGAGGAAAAGACTCGTTATTTTGTCATTGTTCAAGCAAATGTGAGTATAAATCTCTCGAAGGCCATTTGTGCCCCTGATTTAGGTGTGAGTTTAGTTTCCTTCCCAAGGAAAGGCAGAGCCTTGCTGAAATACCAGCTCTGATAAATCCTCTTCTGCTGAAGATCTAATTTAAGATTTATCCAGGCTGTTGAAAGCTCAGGCATATTATTACTGCTTAAAAAAGCTTGCTCAGTGTGTGACAAGCCAACCTTTTTGGCACAAGGAGCAACTTGCAAATGTGCAGTGCAGCCCATGCAGAAAAGTGCAGCCTCATGGCACTAAATGTCCCATTTTCCAACAAATCTGGCAAGGCTAATTGTCACTCAGATGGGTTTAATGGAAACAATTTCATTGGATTCTTCAGGTTGGAAATGCATTTTGTTATAAAGAGGTGATTTTTCCTTCAAGTCATCGTGCAAGTGTACAGAGAGGTTTTTCCAGAGTGGCTGGCAGTGGATAACTGAAAAGAAAAGTGATGTATAAACTATATCTCAGATATCTGTCATCAGAGTGGGGTTTTGATGCCCTTGAGGGCTGTGAAAGGCTTTTTTCCCTTTTTGTCCTTCTGATAACAACTGAAATGAAAACTTCTCTTCTGTTGTTCACAGCTGTTGTGATACATCTTTGTTCGTGGGAAATGATATTTGCTCTGAAGCAACAGGAGATCCTGAATCCACACCTCCACATTCCTGTCATCTCTCTAGCACAGAAGTGCAGATACATTTTGCAGTCTCTTTTCTTATTTATTTTGTGGCATGTTCAGCATTCTGGCAGCAGAAGCCAGGGCCCCAAGGGTGGTTCAATGCTCCTTGTCCCTGTGCTCAGGTGAGACCCCACCCGCAGAGCTGCCCCAGCACAGGAGGGACCTGGAGCTGCTGCAGAGAGCCCAGGGGAGGCACCAGCATGGGCAGAGGGATGGAGCAGCTCTGCTGGGAGGAAAGGCTGGCACAGCTGGGGGTGCTCACCTGGACAGGAGAAGCTCTGGGGTGACCAAACTGTGGCCTGAAGGAGACAACAAGAAAGATGGAGTGGGACTTTTCTGAGGGATGGAGTGGCAGGACAAGGGGGAATGGCTTCAAACTGACAGAAAGCAGGGTTATATGGGATATTGGGAATTAGGAATTCCTTCCTGTGAGCATGGGCAGGCCCTGGCACAGGGTGCCCAGAGCAGCTGTGGCTGCCCCTGGATCCCTGGCAGTGCCCAGGGCCAGGTTGGACTTTGAAGCTTGGAGCAGCCTGGGACAGTGGAAGGTGTCCCTGCCCATGGCAAGGGGTAGAACTGGATGGGCTTTGAGGTCCCTCCCAACCCAAATCATTCTGGGATTCTATAACCCCACAGGCTGCAGGGAATTTTCTCTGGTGTGTACTGTGCAATCACATTCCTCTGATTACACTGTCAGTGCTTTGTTGTCCTTGCATCCTGAAGATACTGCTGGAAATTAATTACTCTCTATCTGCTTTGATCCAGAATTACTCAGAGGCACTGGAGGAATGGAGAAATGGTTTAGTTGATGATGAAAGCTGCTCCTTGTAGCTGGGATTGTTTTTCATCCCTGACCATGAAGAAAGCTGAATGTAGAAATTCCCATATTTACTCTAAATGTGAAGCTGGTGTAAGAACTGAGTGAACTGCAAAATAGGAAAAAAACAATATGCATTTCCATATTCAATCCAATTTAGAGCAATGGGCTCTTCATCTTACATAGATGATGTTATTCAGCAGCATAAATTAAAAAAAAACAAATTTAAAAATTGCTTTTTTTCTTTCAGCATTTCATTAGAATAGGAGGGCAAGATGTAATTCATGGCACATATTCCCTCCTAAGATTTTAGCTCTGCAAAGGAAAGCTCATGCAGCAGTTCCTCTGTGAAAATGGGAATATTTTTGAGTATTCTAAACAAAATATTAGCTAGTCACGATGTTTCTTCACTAAAGGAAGAAAGAAGACTTGAACTGTTGCTAATGTGTGCTTTGGGTATAACCACAACAATTTCTGATTATAAATAAGGCACGGGGCCTTTTTATGTTGTACAAACATGCTGCATTATTGTAGTTTTAGTCTGTAGTTTTCCCAAGCTGTATTGTTTCTGAGCTCTAGATGTCTTGCAGCATTGCTTCAATTTTTCCCCTAATTTTACTTGTGAGCCTTTCAGGCTGCAGCTCTGAGGCTGAAATTCCTGTAATTACTCCTGGAACATGGATAATTCTGACACTTACATGTTTTATCCTCAGCCTTGCTTAAAACCTTTGGGGTGGTTCTTTTTAGGAGGTTTTTTTCCAGGAGATTGTGAGCTCAGGAAGTCTCACCAGCTGGACCTGGTTTGCTCCACAGGACCGAGCCCAGAACCTGAACGAGCGGAGGACGAGCACGACCACCCTGACCGTGGATGTGCTGGATGGGGACGATTTGGGGCCAATGTTCCTGCCCTGTGTGCTGGTGAACAACACCCGGGACTGCAGGCCCCTCACCTACCAAGCCAGCCTGCCAGAGCTCACAGACCCTGTAAGTCCTCTGGGATCTTTCCAGATTTTATCTGTTTTGCCTGACATCTTCTCCTGTGAGTTAGAAGGTGCTTGACACTGTGTTCTGTGTCCCAAACCAAGAGGAAGCCAAGGTGAGATGCCTGTGAGGATGATGGTGAAATTCCAGCTTGGATCCAGTGCCAAACTGCCCATTGGCTGCAAGGGCTGAATCTTAGAAAAATTGGGTACATTTTGGAATTGCTATTCCTGATCTGTCCGTGTTTTGCTCTCAAATTATCCCCAAGAAACACTTTTGGGAGGGGACTTGATGTTGCTCCCATTGAAGGTTGTTATAAACCGTAGGAGAAAGATTTTTGGGAAGAGGAAGCATTAGCCACTGACCCCTGAAAGGAGTTTTGTTGCAATTAATAGGTTCTGATCCAGAGGCAGTGATGATCAATGGGGGTTTATCCCATGTAGGCCCTTGTGCTAAGTCTCTCAGTTAATCCATCCATGGGGTCAGGTAAAGGTGAGTATAAGGCTCATTTCACACTCCATGCACACATGAATCCCAAAATGAGGTGATAACTTTTTCATTTCTTCTTGCAACTTGGTGCCAAGTGCCATTCCTTACAGCAGAGCTGCTGCTTGGAGATCTGCACCTCTGGTGGGAGGAACAGAAACAGGGATTGCTGAACTAATATTGATATGTGACCTTTGACTCATTTAAGAATAAAAAAAGGCAGAACCAATTGAATCACCCACCAGGTATTGCTCCACCTGATTAACTATGAGATTAAGATGGCATTAAAATAACGTTAAGCTTTGGCATTAAGGTTTTTAACTTTGGTTTGTGGTCACAGCACACACTCTGTGTCCTGCTACCTCCAGCCAAGGGCAGGTTGAGGTTGGAAGTTGTCTTGGCTTGAAATGGTTTGCCAAGGAAGGCAGGAGCTCCCCCTGAAATGGAAAATGTAAACCACTCCCTCCGAATTATTATAATTTTGAAATTAAGGGGTTCTCAGGCAAAGATATGAGAATCTAATTAACAGTTCTTTAATAGGAAAATTAAAAATACAAATGCAATAGTACAAACAAAAAAAACCCCAACACTGCTAGAGTCAGACCATGCCCTGCCCCCTGTGTGTCAGGGGGGTGCCCCAGCCCCATCCCATGGGGGCTCAGCCCTCCTGCAGTGCCAGCTGTGGCTCTGCTGCAGCAGGGATCCTGCACAAGGGGGGAGTTTTCCTCTGCAGCTCCAGGGCTGCTGCAGATGGGCCTGGGCTCCCTCTGGCCATGCAGGGCAGCAGAAAGCTGCTCCTCTGGCAATGCAGGGGGCAAAGGCTGCTGTGGGGTCCCAAAGCTCAGATTGGATCCAGGTAGGAATGCTTGGCTCCTCCCCTGGGCAGAGCATCTCCCCATGGGATGGTGGGATTGGATCAGCCATGCAGGGACACTCACTGGCCATGGACAGGAGATAATTAATAATTAATGGCCCATGAACAGAAGAGATTTCCTGGAGGGAGGGTTGGTTGTGGAAGAGATAAAGAAAACTGCCCAATGAACAGAAGATAACTGCCCCACCTCTAACAGATGGCAATAGAATCCACACCTCCCTTTCCAACCTAAGCCAGAAGTGTGGAGATTCCTGCTCTTCCCTGCCTTATCTGCCTTCCTCTCCTGTGCCTCGCACTCTTTTCCCATCCCACACATTTTGGTGTCTTGCTTGGTGTGGCCTCAGGACTCCTGCTGCAATTATCCTTGGGATGGGTCAGGGGATGGGAGACATGATCCCTGTTTAACCTTGGAGCATTGATTTCCAAGTCTTCCCCACACACACTCTTCTCCACCTTGGTGTACTTAAAAACTCTTTGTAGCTGTGTTGTGCTTGGGACTTGGAGAAGAACTGCCTTGACTTTAAATTCTGCTTTAATTTGCTTTGGGCTTGGTGGCATTTTGAGGAAAGGGGCAGCTCCCTGTCCAGCTGAGTGTGGGTGGGATCTTCTCAGGGTAAGCACCCAGACTGTGCAGGATGAGGGATGTGACCCCATTTGACCTGCACAGATCTGTTATAATCACCACTGTGAGAGAAATGAGGCAGGAATTACAAATAACTGGTGTTCCTATGGGCTTTTATCTGCTTATCTGAAGGTATAACATACACCAGGCAGGTTTTGTGGTGCTGCCTCTCAGTCGGAGGATTCCAGCTCCAGCTCTGCTCCTGCCCTTGTCCAGGCACGTTCCCCACCGGAAGACAAAGCACTTTCTGCCAGGGAGAGAGGCTGGGCCAGGAACAATCTGACCTGGGATTTAGGTACTGAGCTGAAAACTCATTTATTCAAACTTCCTGAGCTGCAGCGTGCTCAGGGCCAGCTGCTTTTGTTTGTTTTTTAGCTTTTCTTGTTTGTTTTTTAGCTTTTCTTGTGTCAAACTGCCCCTGATCTATGAAATGAGCCCTGGGTTCTGTTGATGAACCATGAACTCTTCGCTGTTTATCTTTTTGCAGCACTTTTTATAAACCTGAGTGGAAGAAGTTATACCTTGAACCTCAAATATTTACTTGGCTTTTAAGAGATAATTCCTTTAGAAGATATGAATGATACCTGGATTCAGCTAGGAAATATTTATATTGCGTTTACCCTTTACATTTTTATGTATTATATTTATTCTTTACTAAGCTACTCCACAGCTACCATCACCCTACTCCCAAGGCTAAAGGACTATTTTTAGTTAAACATCACCTTTTTAAAATTATTTTTAATTTGCTTTTTAATTTTTCAATGAAGATGAGAAGGAATATTAATGAATGAGGAACAAAGTTGAAGTATGAATTATTCAGAGGCAGTAGCTGGAAAGAGAAGTCCTGCTTTGCTGGGCAAGATGTCCACTCAGCTGACGCCTAAAATAAAGCATTTAATGTCACTGGTAAGAGTAATATTTTGGTCCAGTATAGTTGGAATCTACCCATGAATTTACTGAGGTAAAAGTTGTGGATTAATTACTTGTTGCTAGCTGAATTTCAATTTCCAAGAAAACCTGTGTTGGTTGTTGATTAGGTTTGGGGATTTTTGTTGTTGTTTTTACATTGCTTTATATCATATTTTAGTGTTTCTGTGTCTGATCAGCTCTGGTAATTAATTTTTCCCCCTCTTGTGTCAGGAAGACTTGAATAAGTTAGCATTTATTATCAGATGTGTGCGTCATCACATGGAGTTAAAAAGTACAACCTCATGAATATCTCATAACATGGGCAAGATAATTTCTCCTCCTTTTTTTCCCCCTTCGGTCCATTCCTGTCACACTCACATTGTGAAGGTTTCCTCCACTTCTACACTCTGTATTTTCCATCACCATGCAAAGAAGAAAAGCCTGTTAGGCAGCAAAATACAGATTAGATTTATTTAATTAATTACTGGGCCAGATTTGCAACCATGGGATTTTTTTGGGGTTCCATGGGGTTATTTTGGGGTTCCATGGAGTTATTATGGGGTTCCATGGGGTAATTTTGGGGTTCCATGGAGTTATTATGGGGTTCCATTGGGTAATTATGGGGTTCCATGGTGTTATTTTGGGGTTCCATGGAGTTATTATGGGGTTCCATGGGGTAATTATGGGGTTCCATGTGGTTATTATGAAGTTCCATTGGGTAATTATGGGATTCCATAGGGTTAATAGGGGGTTCCATGGGGTTATTTTGGGGTTCCATGGGGTAATTATGGGGTTCCATGGGGTTATTTTGGGGTTCCATGGGGTAATTATGGAGTTCCATGGAATCATTATGGGGTTCCATTGGGTAATTATGGGGTTCCATGGGGTTATTTTGGGGTTCCATTGGGTAATTATGAGCCCCCATGGGCACTAAGACACTCCATGACACCAAAGATTTTGTGCTCAATCCAGATTGGACCTCTCTCTTCTACAAGTTCCTTGTTCTTGCACCTCTGATGGATCCTCCTGCATGGAAAGGGTTTAGGTTTGTACTGATTATGCTCAGAATCCTCAGGAATTTTGTCTGAAGGGACCTCACAGCGTTTGTGGGGCTTAGGTGACCTCATGGAGCTGAGCCTGAGCAGAGCATGGAGAGGTGAAAGGCTAAAAGATAATAAATAAAACCTTCTCGAACAACAGTGAAGTTGAGAGAGGTGGAATAAGACATTGGAGAGCAGGAGGTCACTGGCAGTCTTTATTAGTGAAAAAGACCTCTTCAGTTCCATCAGTTTGGATTCAGGAGGAGAAATCTACATTTTTCTGAAGAGGTGGTGTAATCCCACTGAATGATCTGGGATTGGGAGCACAGGACTCTTCCAGAGGGTGTTAATCAGCTCTGGACAAATCAATTTTATGCTGATTATTGGCAATTAATTAGCACTGTACAGGATGTGCTAATTAATTACCAGTAATCAGCATGAAATTGGACTTGAATTGGTTTTGGACTTGATGACCTCAAAGGTCTTCTCCAGCCTAGTTAATTCTGTGATTAATTCTGGTTTTGGGTACCTCTGGGCTTGAGGATGACAAACACCTGACAATTCCTTCCAACTGAATTCCCTTGCATTTTGTTCCTTTGGCCCTGCAAATCCCAATTCCTCCCAAACCCAAAACCTCCTGGAATTTTCTCCCAGAGACACCTTAATATAAAATTTAGAGCAGCAGCAGCACAAGTGAAAATTCTGGAAACAGCATCTCCCCATATTGGTTATACTAATCAAAGAGAAAAGTTCATCAAAATGTTCTGGATTTCCTCCAGTGGTCATTAAATTAATTAATTAATTTTTACCTTATTTTGCTGTGGGAGGTGCTGTCAAAAGACATTTGATCCAGGGATCTGCCATGGAATGAACACCAAGTAACCGCTCCTGAAGTGGGAGAGATTTGCTGGTTCACCTGGAACTCCCATGCAGCTGCCAAGGAAGATTTTTGGGGCACTGAAAGGCACAGCCCTCAGATTTTGGGCTGAGTTGAAGTGGCTGTGTTCACAGTTGATTTGGGGAGTTGTTGGTCTCTGGAGCAGTTCAATCTCAATCTGCCTTTATTTTCTTT